GGGGCATAACTCTGCCAAAAATCATCGAACCATGACCAAAATCGAACTTGACCTGTATTTTCTCATGACATATCCATATGTCAAGTTTGAGTTGAATGTGTTGTATCGTTGGGGAGATAATGAACGGAAACTGAAAATTTCATTTTATTTTCAAAGTAAAAGAGGCATAACTCTGCCAAAAATCATCGAACCAAGACCAAAATCGAACTTGACCTGTATTTTCTCATGACATATCCATATGTCAAGTTTGAGTTGAATGTGTTGCATCACTGGGGAAATAATGAACGGAAACTGAAAATTTCATATTATTTTCAAAGTAAAAGGGAATAACTCTGCCAAAAATCATCGAACCATGACCAAAATCGAATTTGACCTGTATTTTCTCATGACATATCCATATGTCAAGTTTGAGTTGAATGTGTTGTATCATTGGGGAAATAATGAACGGAAACTGAAAATTTCATATTATTTTCAAAGTAAAAGGGGCATAACTCTGCCAAAAATCATCGAACCATGACCAAAATCGAACTTGACCTGTATTTTCTCATGACATATCCATATGTCAAGTTTGAGTTGAATGTGTTGTATCGTTGGGGATATAATGAACGGAAACTGAAAATTTCATATTATTTTCAAAGTAAAAGGGGCATAACTCTGCCAAAAATCATCAAACCATGACCAAAATCGAACTTGACCTGTATTTTCTCATGACATATCCATATGTCAAGTTTGAGTTGAATCTGTTGTATCGTTGGGGAGATAATGAACGGAAACTGAAAATTTCATATTATTTTCAAAGTAAAAGGGGCATAAATCTGCCAAAAATCATCGAACCATGACCAAAATCAAACTTGACCTGTATTTTCTCATGACATATCCATATGTCATGTTTGAATTGAATTTGTTGTCTCGTTGGGAAGATAATGAACGGAAACTGAAACTGCCCTTTAAAGATCACAACCTTGCCCTCCAAAGATCATGCCCTTGACCTTCAAAGATCATGCCCTTGACCTTTAAAGATCACAACCTTGCCCTCCAAAGATCATACCCTTGTCCTTCAAAGATTATACCCTTGCCCTCCAACAGCATGCCCTTGCCCTTCAAAGATCATACCCTAGCCATCCAAGATCATTCCCTATTCCTCCAAAGATCATTCTTATCACTCTAAAGATCATACCATTGCCCCCCCAAAAAAAACATTACCCTTGCCCTCCAAAGATCATACCCTTGCCCTACAATGATCATACCCTTGCCCTTCAAAGATCATACCCTTGCCCTACAAAGATCATACCCTTGCCCTACAATGATCATACCCTTGCCCTTCAATGATCATACCCTTGCCCTACAAAGATCATACCCTTGCCCTCCAACAGCATGCCCTTGCCCTTCAAAGATCATACCCTAGCCATCCAAGATCATTCCCTATTCCTCCAAAGATCATTCTTATCACTCTAAAGATCATACCATTGCCCCCCCAAAAAAACATTACCCTTGCCCTCCAAAGATCATACCCTTGCCCTCCAAAGATCATACCCTTGCCCTACAATGATCATACCCTTGCCCTTCAATGATCATACCCTTGCCCTACAAAGATCATACCCTTGCCCTACAAAGATCATACCTATGCCCTTCAATGATCATACCCTTGCCCTTAAAAGATCATACCCTTGCCCTTCAATGATCATACCCTTGCCCTACAAAGATCATACCCTTGCCCTACAAAGATCATACCTATGCCCTTCAATGATCATACCCTTGCCCTCAAAAGATCATACCCTTGCCCTCAAAAGATCATACCCTTGCCCTTCAAAGATTATACTCCCTCCCTCCAAAGATCATACCCTTGCCCTACAATGATCATACCATTGCCCTCAAAAAACAATACCCTTGCCCTCCAAAGATCATGCCCTTGCCCTCCAAAGACAATACATTTGCCCTCCAAAAGTCTTATCTAAGATATCAATAGACAATAACACAGTCTTTTAATCATGTACATCATATCCAAACCTACCTAAGATCATACTCTAACCCTTCTTAGATTTTACCCTTCTGTTTCAAAGATAATATACTAACAATCACCCAATAATATACCCAGGAACAAATAGTAAGTTATATATCAGATTATTCCAGTGTAAAATGTATTACATAAATTATCACACACAACTGTTACTATATATATAAACTGTTACTATATATATCACAATACAAAACAAGAGGGCCATGATCGCCCTGAGGTCGCTTACCTGTATATAGGCCCTGGAGCGGGGCCAGTTTAAACCCCAGGGCTTTTATTTGAACAAACTTGGAAGACACCCATTAGAAGATGTTTCATGATGTTAAGTTTTTACTACACATGTATAATGAAAAACAATGACCTCCCCCCCACCCCCAGCAGGGCCAATTTTAACCCAAGGTCTTTTATTTGAACAAACTTGGTAGACACCCATAAGAAGATGTTTCATGCTAAACATCTAAGCTCTAGCTCATTGGGTTTTTTAAAAGAATATTTTTTAAGTTTTTACTATACACATATATTTAAAAACAATAACATCCCTGGGGCGGGGCCAGTTTTGACCCCAGGGCGTTTATTTGAACAAACTTTGTAGACACTTACTAGAAGATGTTTCATGCTTAATATCTAAACTCTAGCTATTTGGGTTTTTTCAAAGAAGATTTTTAAGTTTTTGCCATACACATATAAGGAAAATCAATGACCCCCGGGGCAGGGCCAATTTTGACCCCATGGCTTTTATTTGAACAAACTTTGTAGACACTCACGAGAAGATAATTCATGCTTAATATCTAAACTCTAGCTATTTGGGTTTTTTCAAAGAAGATTTTTTAAGGTTTTGCTATACACATATAAGGAAAATCAATGACCCCCATGGGCGGGGCCAATTTTGACCCCAGGGCTTTTATTTGAACAAACTTTGTAGACACTCACTAGAAGATAATTCATGCTTAATATCTAAACTCTAGCTATTTTGGTTTTTTCAAAGAAGATTTTTAAGTTTTTGCCATACACATATAAGGAAAATCAATGACCCCCATGGGCGGGGCCAATTTTGACCCCAGGGCTTTTATTTGAACAAACTTTGTAGACACTCACGAGAAGATAATTCATGCTTAATATCTAAACTCTAGCTATTTTGGTTTTTTCAAAGAAGATTTTTTAAGGTTTTGCTATACACATATAAGGAAAATCAATGACCCCCATGGGCGGGGCCAATTTTGACCCCAGGGCTTTTATTTGAACAAACTTGGTAGACACACATTAGAACATGATTCTTGCTAAATATCTTAGCTCTAGCTCTTTGAGTTCTTTAAAATAAGATTTTTTAAGTTTTTACTATATGCATATAGGGAAAATCAATGACCCCCTGGGGCGGGGCCAATTTTGACCCCAGGGCTTTTATTTGAACAAACTTGGTAGACACTCATGAGAAGATGTTTCATGCTAAATATATTAGCTCTAGCTCTTTGGGTTCTTTAAAAGAAGATTTTTTAAGTTTTTACTATATGCATATAGGGAAAATCAATGACCCCCTGGAGCGGGGCCAATTTTGACCCCAGGGCTTTTATTTGAACAAACTTAGTAGACACTCACTAGAAGATGTTTCATGCCAAATATCTAAGCTCTAGCTCTTTGGGTTTTTTAAAAGAAGGTATTTAAAGTTTTTTCTTTCGGTTGCCATGGCATCCAGAGTTCTGCATGGAATTAAATTCTTTGAACACTTTTTAAAGGTGACTACCAAAGGAACATTCCTGTGAAATTTGGATGAAATTGGCTTAGTGGTTTATGAGGAGATGTCATTTAAAGTAAAAGTTTACGGATGGACGGACGCCGGACGGACGACAGACGGACGCCGGAAGAAAAGCGATCACAAAAGCTCAACCTGTCACTTTGTGACAGGTGAGCTAAAAATAGAGGACCATTGAAAATGAAATTACCGGTATAAGGAGAAATTTTATATAAATTTGCCAGAAAAAAATTCCAGAATAACTAGAAAAATGTCCATAGGACAAGGGTGCCCCCACACTCCACCGATTTGTCAATTTGAGAAATTCTTTTTGGCTACATGTGCCCAAGTTGAAAACTAAAAATCTTTTATTAAGTAAAGGGCCTACAAATACTGAATAAATCCACAAGAAAACCCCAAGTTGCCTAAGTACACATGCTGACCAACATTCTTGAAAACTTTCAGGCCTGCAGGTCAAATTTATACTACTGTAAGTCAAGGGCAATAACTCTAACAAAACTGAAAAAAATCCACATGCAAAGTCCCAGGTGCATAGCTTCACAGTGATTTGAATCATTATTCCTGTAATTTAGTGATGTTGATCATTATTCCTGTAAAGTTCGTTGATTCTACCTCAAGCACTCGAGGAACAAATAACAACATAATGAAACGGTTTTTACTTAGTCAAGGGAAATAACTCTACTGGATAAATCCAAAAGCGAAACCCCAGTTGCAAAACTAGATATGCTGAGCAACCTTCTCGTAAGGTTTAATGACTCTAGGTCAAATCCTTTTTGAATTACATGCAACACAAGTTGAAAATTGCAAAAATTCTATAAGTCAAGGGAAATAACTCTAAAAATACTAAAAATATCCACACGAAAATACCCAGGTGCACAACTACACATGCTGATCAACATTCCTGTAAAGTTTCATGACTCTAGGTCAAATACCTTTTTAGTTACATGCAACACAAGTTGAATATTGTAAATTTTTACTAAGTCAAAAGCAATAACTCTAAAAATACTTAAAATATCCACACGAACATACCCAGGTGCACAACTACATATGCTGAGCAACATTCCTGTAAGGTTTCATGACTCTAGGTCAAATACTTTTTTAGTTACGTGCGACACAAGTTGAAAATTGGATTTTTTTTACTAATTCAAGGGCAATACTAGTAACTAAAAAATACTAAATATATCCACACAAAAAATAGCTGTTCAACATTTCTGTAAGGTTTCATGATTCTAGGTCAATTACTTTTTGAGCTACGTGCGACACAAAAAGAGAACGGACGGACAAGGGTAAATCTAAATGCCCCCCCCCCCCCTATAGTGGGGGCACAAAAATGTAACCATCATCATAATGACTGCCTACAACTTACGACTCACTGTAGAAGAAGTTTCTCTGATGAGAAAGTGGTTCCTGAGTTCTATGAGAGGATACAAGGAAACGTGACCTGCACACCGGGAACCCTGGGGGAATTTCCATCTCACTAATGAGGTCAAGGACGTAGTCATATCCCATCAACTCATAGTAATCCATGTCTTCCTGCAGCACTACGGTCCCACCCATGTTGTTTTCACGTAAACCTCTCTGGTTTAATAAATGCTTGGCAAACTCCTCCCCTGAAGTACATGACTCCACATGACCAATCATTGTAGCATCTGGAAATATTGCAATTTACATATCAATAAATTAAATTTCTAGTAAATAAAACTGATTTATTTGTACACATGATAAATAAAACTTTGAACAATTATTGATTTTCATGATTTTTTATTCTAATTCATTCATGTCTTTTTCTATTATGTGATAATGCCCTATGAAATATTATTACAGAATTATGTTGCTGATATTTTCCGGCTCTCCAATGATAGATCCACAAAGGGTCAATCACTTTTCTAGTGAGCTAAAATCAAAACAAACAGAAAAGACCAATAAAACAGTAAATCTAATAAAGTAACTTCAGCTCATTAAATTCCAACTAGGAAATAACTGACTTACTATCAGCAAATCTAACTTCTAGTGCCATATTGCCAGGCTTTCCTCTGAGCAGCTCTACACTCAAGGAGGCAAGGAGGGTAGACTCTACTAAGTTGTGGCTCGATATTTGCACATTGCAAGGCTTTTTGTTGACAAAACCATTTATACCCAGGGTTGTGCAATAGCATTTATCAATAATTATGCAAAAGGCTGACATTCTCTACACAACAATAGTGTTACTCAGTTTTCACTTAATATAGGTGTGCACATAAACAAGCTGAATTATGAAGACAAGGGGATATTACTTTTCCTCTGGGGTGTACATAATGTAGAGAAGATATCTTAATACATACTTGTGGAGATATTTATAGAGAGTTGGACTTGGAGGGAAGGCACTAAGAGTGTGAGCCATCAACTGCCATACACGTTCTGCTGTGTTCACACTCTGGTTTGTTCCATGTCTGGTTAGATAACTGACAATATATCTCATCTCTCAAACCCTCATTTTGTAAACCCTGTAAAAGATGCAATATTTGTCAATGTCATAAATTCATAATATGTTCAATAACTGTGTTAAAACTTAAAAACTGTCAGTGCTTATTTCTTTCAAACTAAATGAAATTCTCATGTTGATTAGCTATCAACGCCAGATCAACATATTTAACTAAAAAGACTTTGTCAGCTTTTCTCTTTAAACCAATATAAAAAAAATTTCTAAATCCACGAACAATTCACAAAGAATGATGCAAAGAATACATGCTTTGGTTCTTGGTCAGTGACCTGCAATCCAGAAGTTTGAAACAAATATCTTCACAAGTTGTAGAGATACAACTGGCTAAAAAACTTTATCCTGAAATTTCACAAAGTTTACAAAGGGAAATAACTCAGTTAAAAACCATGTTAGAGTAATAGGTATTAGTCAATGACCTACAACTAAAACACCAAATTAACATAACAGTAGTGTTTTCTTTTCTTTAAAGTTTTAAAGGAATGAACTTACCAGTTGAACAATATAATCTGCCATGGCCTTTTCTTGTCTGTCTCCCTATATGGTTATACATATACTTCAAAATCTGAAGAAAAAAAAAACAACACCATCAATTAATTTCTTTATCATAACCTATTTTTAAGGAAGTAGATTCTTCAATTGCTAGAGCACGGTACAGTATAGAACTTATTCAGACACATAGGTCTAACATTTTTACATTTTGAAATACAGAAAAGCAGTCAATGTGACAAAATTAATACTTATTTCATGAGTCTGTAAGAGTTTTTATTTTTACAGACTTTTCTAAAAGAATTAATGACTTTGTGCCTGCACACAAGTAATGTGCCTCTCAGTAATCATATTATAGTTTGTTTATACAGTACAACCTCTGTATAGCATCACTCTTGGGTGGTATACAGTACAACCTCTGTAAAGCATCACTCTTGGGTGGTATACAGTACAACCTCTGTAAAGCATCACCCTTGGGTGGTTTACAGTACAACCTCTGTAAAGCATCACCCTTGGGTGGTATACAGTACAACCTCTGTATAGCATCACTCTTGGGTGGTATACAGTACAACCTCTGTATAGCATCACCCTTGGGTGGTATACAGTACAACCTCTGTAAAGCATCACTCTTGGGTGGTATACAGTACAACCTCTGTAAAGCATCACCCTTGGGTGGTATACAGTACAACCTCTGTAAAGCATCACCCTTGGGTGGTATACAGTACAACCTCTGTAAAGCATCACTCTTGGGTGGTATACAGTACAACCTCTGTAAAGCATCACCCTTGGGTGGTATACAGTACAACCTCTGTAATAGCATCACTCTTGGGTGGTATACAGTACAACCTCTGTAAAGCATCACCCTTGGGTGGTATACAGTACAACCTCTGTAAAGCATCACTCTTGGGTGGTATACAGTACAACCTCTGTAAAGCATCACCCTTGGGTGGTATACAGTACAACCTCTGTATAGCATCACTCTTGGGTGGTATACAGTACAACCTCTGTAAAGCATCACTCTTGGGTGGTATACAGTACAACCTCTGTATAGCATCACTCTTGGGTGGTATACAGTACAACCTCTGTATAGCATCACCCTTGGGTGGTATACAGTACAACCTCTGTAAAGCATCACCCTTGGGTGGTATACAGTACAACCTCTGTATAGCATCACCCTTGGTAGGCAAAGATTTTGATTGCTGTTGAGAGGTGGTTAAATTGCTAAAATGATAGTTCCATTCTGCTGTTGTTTTGTCACGCTCTACAAATGTTACATTGTAACTGTATTATTAAACCATGCATTACTTCAAAACCTATAAGACTTACACAAAATGTCTGTTAAAAGTTTTCTTTTTAGGTTGGCATATGTTTTGTAATTATAACTATTTGGCAAAAATAATATCTTTTGATGCTATGCATCAATATATAATGGTAAGAATAGTTACCAGTTTGAATACATATTGTGCCAGCCTGTTGTTCTGGTCTCCCTGTACTTTGGTCAATGCTGATTTAATTGGTTCTACACTGAATCAGGATTCTATGTGAAATATAAAATTATACAATCTTATTTCTGGGATAGGAAAAAGTGTGTAAAAATCAAGGCAAAATTTAAATAAAATTAGGAAGTTAGAATACTGCAACAATATCTTTTACATATACATGTACATCATTTTAGTAAATTCAATTCTTATTCTACTAACTATCAAAACATTTGGCAATAAAAAGTAAACTGAATTAAATCCAACAATGTAAAATTAAAAAAAAAAATGTGTCCATAGGACACGGGTGCCCACCGATTTGTCAATCTTATGTCTCTAGGTCAATTTTTTTTGGCTACATGTGCCCAAGTTGAAAACTAAAAATCTTTTATTAAGTAAAGGGCAAATTCTACAAATATTGAATAATTCCATAAGAAAACCTCAAGGTGCATAAGTACACTTCTTGTAAACTTTCAGGCCTACAGGTCAAATACTTTTTCAGTTACGTGCAACACAAGTTGAATATTGTAAATTTTTACTAAGTCAAGGGCAATAACTTTAAAAATACTAAATATATCCACACAAACATACCCAGGTGCACAACTACACATGCTGATCAACATTCTTGTAAGGTTTCATGACACTAGGTCAAATATATTTTTAGTTACGTGCGACACAAGTTGAAAATTGCAAATTTTTACTAAGTCAAGGGCAATAACTCAAAAAATACTAAATATATCCACATGAAAATACCCAGGTGTACAACTTCACATGCTGATCAACATTCCTGTAAGGTTTCATGACTCTAGGTAAATTACTTTTTGAGCTAAGTGCGACACAAAAAGAGAACGGACAGACGGAAGGACGGACGGATGGACCGACGGACAAGGGTAAATCTAAATGCCCCCCCCCTAAAGTGGGGTCACAAAAATAAAATAAAATTGCAAAGCCATATTTTGAAAGTTAAAGGGAAATAACTTGGAACTACAAATGTGCCCATGTAGGACACGGGTGCCCCCAAACAATGGGAAACATCACTGTTTTGTGAATCTTATGACTCTAGGTCAAATATTTCTTTGGCTACATGTGCCACAAGTTGAAAACTAAAGAACTTTTTTCTTAGTAAAGGGCAAGAACTTTACAAATACTGAATAAATCCACAAGCAAACCCAATTTGCATAAGCACACTTGCTGACCAACATTCTTGTAAACTTTCAGGTCTACAGGTCAAATACTTTTTGAGATATGCATGAGCAAGTTGAAAATTGCAAATTTATACTAAAATTGCAATAACTCTTACAAAACTGGAAAAAAGCCACAGGCAAAACCCCAGGTGCATAGCTTCACAGTGATGCTGATCATTATTCCTGTAAAGCACTCAAGGAACAAAAAACACAATATGGAACAATTTTTACTAAAACAAGGGCAATAACCCTAGAAATACAGGATAACTTCACAAGCTTACCAACTCAAGGTTAAATACTTTTTGAGCTACGCACGACACAAATTGAAATTTGCAAATTTTCATTAAATCAAGGGCAAAAACTCTGACAAAACAGAATTAAGTCACAAGCGAAACCCCAGATGCACAACATCACATGCTGATCAACATTCCTGTAAAGTTTCATGACCCTACTGTATGCCAAATACTTTTTGAGCTACGTGTGACAATATTTGAAAATTGCAAATTTGTATTAAGTCAAGGACAATAACTCTGACAAAACAGAATAAATTTACAAACGAAACCAAAGGTGCACAATTACACATGCTGAACAATATTCCTGTAAAGTTTCATGACCTTTGGTTAAATACTTCTTGAGCTACGTGCGACACAAGTTGAAAATTGCAAATTTTGACTAAGTCAAGGGGAATACCTCTGACAAATACTGAATAAATCCACACAAAAATACCCAGTTGCACAACTAAACATGCTGTGAACAACATTTCTGTAAAGTTTCATGACTCTAGGTCAATTACTTTTGAGCTATGTGCGACACAAAATTAGAACGGTCGGACGAAAGGACAGACGGACAAGGGTAAATCTAATCCCACCACTACTATATAGTGGGAGCACAAAAATGGAAGCTATAGTTATGTTATTTGTACAGATCATGTAATTTGTATTGATATGTGTGTAAATTATTAAGCCATTGGTACTGGTAGAACTTATGAAAAATCCAACTTGCCGTTTTAGGTCGATTCAATTTCTATATGCCCAGGGTATAAAAACTTGATACATTTTATGCTCAATTGGTTAGTTTCATTTAGAGTGAAGTAAGTAAGTATAGGTTAGAGTGCATAGTGGGTGTTCTTCGTAAATAAGAAAGCTAAAAAGGAGCGGAGCACATTTACGGGTCACGTGTTTTGCATAGCTTATTCCCGCATTCTGTCAAGGTAAATCAGACAATATCACGGTGCATATCCATATCGGTACCCTCTTTGCAAAATATTCTCAAACGGTACCCTCTTTGAACATACACAGGTCATTCTCTGCTAAAAACAAACCAGCGATGGATAACAATGCAGTAAAAATTCATTGTAACAAGAGCCATGTCAACATGGCCATCCCCCGCCGAATGTGTTTGCTCATTGGAAGAATGTATATGTAGTAGAGCAGGATAATTCCATTTTAAGAGGTCTTTTGGTAATGAAAACTGATGGCTACTGTATATTGATTACAGATTTGAAACCTATGTGAATACTGATGGCTGAAAATAAGAAAGGGCAATACCTGAAAAATAATGCAGGGTAGGTTATCATTCTTGTGTGCTGCATCCCTCCTCAGTAAAATCTATCCACCAATGAAGTTTCAAGTTGATACCTCAAATACTTTTTGAGAAAAAAATTGAATTGAAAAATTAAGTATGAAAAATAACAATGGGCAATAACTCAAAAATTATAAAAGGTAGAGTTTTTAATCTTGTGCACTGCACACCTCCTGAGTTAGATCTATGCACATAAGAAGTTTCATGTTGATATCTCAAAGGCCTTTTGAGTTATGCTCTGGACAAAAATTAATTTTGAAAAATAAAAAAGGGCAATAACTAAACAATTATGCAGGGTAGAGTTATCGTTCTTGTACACTGCACTCCTCCTCAATGAGATCCATCCAGCTATGAAGTTTCAAGTTGATACCTCAAATACTTTTTGAGATAAACTCTGGACAAAATAGTATGAAAAAGAACAAAGGGCAATAACTCAAAAATTGTACAGGGAAGAGTTATCATTCTTGTGCACAGCATTCCTCCTCAATAAAATCTATCCACCTATGACATTTCATGTAGACCTCTCAAACACTTTTGAGTTATGCTCCACTCGGGTGAAAAATTAGGTATGAAAAATAACAAAGGGCAATAACTCAAAAATTATGAAAGGAAGAGTTATCATTCTTGTGCACTGCACACCTCCTGAGTGAGATCTATGCACCTATGAAGTTTCATTTTGATATCTCAAAGGCTTTTTGAGTTATGCTCTGGACAAAAATTAATTTTGAAAAATAACAAAGGGCAATAACTCAAAAATTATGCAGGGTAGAGTTATCATTCTTGTGCACTGCACTCCTCCTCAATGAGATCCATCCACCTACATGAAGTTTCAAGTTGATACCTGAAATACTTTTTGAGATAAGCTCTGGACAAAATAGCATGAAAAAGAACAAATGGCAATAACTCAAAAATTGTATAGGGAAGAGTTATCATTCTTGCGCACAACATTCCTCCTCAATAAGATCTATCCACCTATGACATTTAATGTTGATATCTCAAACACTTTTTGTGTTATGCTTCACTCAGGTGAAAAATTAAGTAAGAAAAATAACAAAGGGCAATAACTCAAAAATTATGAAAGGTAGAGTTATCATTCTTGTGCACTGAACACCTCCTGAGTGAGATCTATGCACCTATCAAGTTTCATGTTGATATCTCATAGGCTTTTGGAGTTATGCTCTGGACAAAAATCAATTTTGAAAAATAACAAAGGGCAATAACTAAAAAATTATGCAGGGTAGAGTTATCATTCTTGTGCACTGCACTCCTCCTCAATAAGGTCTATCCACCTATGAAGTTTCAAGTTGATAACTCAAATACTTTTAGAGATATGCTCCGGACAAAAATGTCGGACGGAAGGTCGGACGGACGGACGGAGACTATTTCTATATCCCCCGCCGCCTTTTCGGCGGGGGATAATTAATAAAAACACCCTACTTTCGGTTTTGCAGCGGCACGGGCTGTAATATTTACATAAAAAGTAAGAAATATTACATACATACTTTGTTGGAATAAGTGAACTTTTTATTTGGAAATTATAAAATGATACTGGTTCCGTAAGTAATAAAACATTTTTACTGTTATTTTGCCTGTTTTCATTTCAATGAACCTCTTTTTTTAATTCTATGCCGTAGTGACGATATACATGTGCGTGTACGGAAAAATCATAAATATTGATTAGTACGAGTAAACTTCAAGAATTCTGCACATGCGTATATTTCACTTTAAATAGCGCTCTTCGAAACTTAGCTCCGCCCACTTGCGTTTTATAATATAAAACGTCCAGTTTATATAAAATCTGTTCTATTAAGATTTGAAACCTGAAAATTTGAAAAATCCTCGTCGGTGATCGGCTTAGTATAGGTTAGAGTGCATATTGGGTGTTCTTCGTAAATAAGAAAGCTAAAAAGGAGCGGAGCTTGCGAAGCGACTGTAGCTTTCTTATTTACGAAGAACATCCAATATGCACTCTAACCGGCTTAGTGCTCCGCCCATTTTTTTCCGCCCAACACACTGCGTGACGTCACACGATAGCCTAAATGTGTATAACCATATTTGGAAGAGGTAGCGGTACACATTTTCGGGTCACGTGTTTTGCATAGCTTATTCCTGCATTCTGTCTAGGTAAATCAGACAATATCACGGTGCATATCCATATCGGTACCCTCTTTGCGAAGTATTCTCAAACGGTACCCTCTTTGAACATACACAGGTCATTCTCTGCTAAAAACAAACCAGCGATGGATAACAATGCAGTAAAAATTCATTGTTATATAGTTCTGGCTTCCAAAACTTTATATGCCGCTATTTAA